CTTCCTCCTCTGTACTGATGGCTCTCGTGCTGCTGCTGCCGCTGGAGGGGCCTCGGGGCACCTGTACAACATCGGGAATCGATGGCCCTGGTCAATCCAAACCCGGTCTGGTCAGGCTGTGCAAGATCCTGCAGGATCCTGCAGCATCCTGCACGCTGGCCCAGGTCAGTGCACCCCTGGCTGCGCAAGATCCTCCGCATCGCGCTCAGCGATCGGGGGACCCCATTAGGCCCGCCGCAGCGGAGGTCCCTCCGGCGAAAGGCCACTCGACCCGAGAGCAGCTACCTTGGGACCTCCCAGCCCGGCCCCGCCTTGGTTGGGAGGCAACTGCTGGCAGGTCTTCGACGGAGGGATTCACCAGGAGAACTTGGGGGGTGTTACGCCGGATTGGGCCGCGGATCTAGCGGGATTCAACCGGGTCAAGCCTGATTGAGCCGGATGAATGAAGGGGCCCTGGGACACACAAATAAGTACACACAAATAAAATTATCCCGGCAAAGCAACCTAACAGCGATGTGTAGGAGCATATCTGGAAGCATTCCCTTTAAGATTCAGATGAGAATCCAGTTGTAGAATTGTGCTGTTCTCGCAGTCGTAGTCGCATTCGCGATGACAGTCGCAGTGGCAACGGCAGTCACAGACACAGCCTCAGCCTCAGCCTGCCTCAGCCTCAGCCTCAGCCTGCCTCAGCCTCAGCCTGCCTCAGCCTCAGCCTCAGCCTGCTTCAGCCTCAGCCTCAGTCTGCCTTCAGCCTCGGCGTCAGCCTCAGGCTGCCTCAGCCTCAGCCTCAGCCTCAGCCTGCCTCAGCCTCAGCCTCAGCCTCAGCCTCAGCATTCAAAATGTGGCCCGGGAATGTAGTTCTGGGAACTCGAAGAACACGAAGTGGCCTACAGTTGGCTCCGGGCATTCAAAATCATGCCCAGGAATGGAGTTCTGGGAACTCGAAGACCACGAAGTGGCCTACAGTTGGCTCCGGGCATCCAAAATCTGGCCCGGGAATGGCCTACAGTTGGCTCCGGGCATTCAAATTCATGCCCAGGAATGGAGTTCTGGGAACTCGAAGACCACGAAGTGGCCTACAGTTGGCTCCGGGCATCCAAAATCATGGCCCGGGAATGGAGTTCTGGGAACTCGAAGACCACGAAGTGGCCTACAGTTGGCTCCGGGCATCAAAAATGTGGCCCGGGAATGGAGTTCTGGGAACTCGAAGACACGAAGTGGCCTACAGTTGGCTCCGGGCATTCAAAATGTGGCCCGGGAATGGAGTTCTGGGAACTCGAAGACCACGAAGTGGCCTACAGTTGGCTCCGGGCATTCAAAATGTGGCCCGGGAATGGAGTTCTGGGAGGTCAAGGAGCACCAAGTGTGTGACTGTTGCATCCGGTTATTCAGAATGTGGCCTGGGAATGGGGTTCTGAGAGGTCGACGAGCACGAAGTGTGTGACTGTTGGTGAAAAACGAGCCCGGCACAGGCCCGGCACCCTGCCGGCCGGCAACTCCCAACGCCTGCCCGGACCCCCCTGTGGAGTGATCTGTGAGCTCTTTTGAGTCAACTAGAAACCTATCAGTCTACGCTGTTAGGTAAATATGCCCCATATTTTCCCATATTTTCTGGGTTTTTGTCGTCCCGCCCAATTCCCATGTTTTCTAGGGAATCGACGATTACTCGTGTCTGTGTTTTTTCCCTTCCTGAATGAAGCCAGATGTCGGACCAGGGCAAGATCAGAACTGACCTCCCAGGAGCTGCGTCCGACGTCCGACCCTCGGGGTCTCCTGGGGCCGTCCGGGAGCCCGCCCGGCCAGCTGCAGTGCCTCCGAGGAGCCTCCGGGTCGTCCTCCCGGCGCCCCCAGCGGCGCCCCCGGTGGCCCTCGGGCGGGAGTGGTCCTCGCGAGGCCGTCATTGGGGCCCTCTCCCAGAGATCCGACCCTGACCTTCCAGGAGGGCTACAAAATTGCACCGCCGGACTCAAAAGCCTCTCCCAAAGCTGTGCTACGTCCTGGTTTTAGATTGTTTCGTTCCGTGTTTTAGGTTTTTAGGCCTGCAGTGCTAAAAAATGGCTCTCTGGAAGGTCAGGGGATGTCGTGATTCTTTCAGTGCGGGGTCCCCGGAAGCAAGCCTCGACCCCTTCCCCAGGGCGGCTCTTCACCCCGAGTCGTTTTTGACGTTCCTGGGGCCCAGCGAGGGCCCCTGGAGGCCGAACGTTGCATAAAACCTCTGCCTCGAGTTTTCCAATGCCTGGATCTCTGGGCTTGGGGCAGCGCAGTCGGACAGGCCCCACCCTTCCCTGCCGACGGGCAGGTTCCTCGGACTCCTCGGAGGCACTCCAGCCGGCCGAGCGGGCCCCAGGGCGGCCCCGAGAGACCCCTCTTGGCGGGGCCGGGCCGGGAGGCCACGAGGTATATAGCTGCTCTCGGGTCGACTATAGACGTAATCCACGGGATCCTGGCGACTGCGTTTTCTCGAGCCGGGCGGTTCCAGTTTCGGGCCCCCGGGCCCTCACAGGTGGATCCAGCTTGACAAATGCTACAGAAAGATGAGGTCCTGGGCTCCCGTCGTGATTTCTCACGATGTCTCGATTTTTCCGAGACGTCGGATCTCAGGGTTCGTCCGAGCCGATCCCAGACCCCCAGACGTCGTGGTTTACTATGGTCCCAGCTGGGGCGACGATGCTGCCTAGAAGGCAGGGGCCTTTTTGGGAACGCCCCAATGGCTGCAGCCCCCCACGCGTGTGACAAGGATGCGCAGCAAGGACGCGATCGAGGAGAATCGAGGATCGATCGGCGGCGAGCGAGGAGGGGGAAGTGCGAGAAAGAGGACACGAGGGAGGACACGAGACCCTTCGGGTCACACTGCCACAGGAATGCAAAGGTATGGGCCGCGAAGCATAGAACACAAGGGTAGCCCCGCCTTGGAAGGATCGGCCTACTAAGCAGCCTCGACTGTAGTGAGGCCGTCTGAGGGGCTCGCGAAGCCCTCTGGAGGCATCTTCGGGGGCTCCTGGAAACTCCTGGGGCCCTCTCGGGAGCCTCTGGATCTTCCGAGCTGCTGCTGGGGGACCCATAGGGGCATTCTGTGCAAACACCTCTTCCGAACGCAAGACACCCAGATTGTAGGGATAGTCCTGCGCTGCTAAGAATCATGACATCGGGCTCCAACCTCGCCTCCCACATCTCGCTCAGCAACGCCAATGCCCACTGCCACTGCTCGCCCTTCTCGCACGCGCTGATCCCAGCATTGTAGCAGACCAGTGCGAGCCCGTGGAAAATCCACAGCTGGCAGGTCAAGGTGTTGGTCCCGAACGCGAACGTGCCGTCGATCACAGGCGACACGAGCGCGTTCGGGACCCAGGCTCACAGGTTTCCTGCAGGCTCCGGGCTCTGGGGCTGGAGGCTCTCTGCGAGTGTCCTGGGAGTGCCTGGGCTGTCTCGGAGTGGTCACTGGAGGGTTCTCCTGGCATCGATGGCTGCGGGAAGCCCTCAGTCGAGTCTCGCTGCATCCTCTTGCAGGAGGAGGAGGAGGAGGAGGAGGAGGAGGAGGAGGAGGAGGAGGAGGAGGAGCAGAAGGGGGAGGGGGAGGAGGGAGGAGGAGGAGGAGGAGGAGGGGAGGAGGAGGAGGAGGAGGAGGAGGAGGAGAAGGAGGAGGAGGAGGAGGGCGGCACTGGAGAGGGAGGGGTGCAGGCTCACCGAGGCAGAGAAGATAGGAGAAGGTCCCCCTTGTCACCCCTAATCGGCGGGAGGGGGCTCGAGGCGTGTCGGGGTGCTCTCGTTGGCCATCTGGGGCCCCCATCTGGGGCCCCCTTGTCTGCAACAGCTCGCGGATTCCTCTTGGGTCATTGTGCGGCCCCCCCTTGGGCCACACTGGGGCTCTCTGGTGCCGTCCTGGGGGCCTCCACGTGCACGGCTGTCGTGGAGCCATGGCGGGAGTCTGGGGCCGTGTTGGAGCTCGGTTCAAGTTGGGGCCCCTCTTGGACAGCTCCGAGAGCGCGTCAGGGGGGGCAGCTGAGGCTCTGCCAGGCCGTCTGGGGGCGATCTTGGGGTCTTGCGGGGGGTGGGGCCCTCGTGGGCCGTCTTGGTGCGCTCGTCCGGGCCTCGTGGGCAATCTTGGGCGATCGCACAAGTGCCCACAGCCGCGCGGGGCCGTTCCGGGCTTGTCGTTGGGAAAGTGTGCAAAATCATCCGGAAATGCAACAAAGTCAGCGCTTGATGCTTAGCCTCGTGAGGCCGTCTTCGGAGTCCTAGTGTGCCCGCTTGGGCCTTCCCTGGGGCCTCTTGGGAAAGCTTGGAGCCAGGGTGGGGGTCTGGGGCCGTCTGGGAGTCTTGTTAGGGCCCTCCCGGGCAGCTCCTAGGGCGTCTTGTGGGACAACTTGAAGTTCTGTTCGGCTCTCTGGGGCCTGTTCTGGGCCGTCTTGGGGCCCTCATTGGCCGTCTTGGTGGGCTCATGAGGGCCTCTTGGGCCATCTCGGTGCAATATTCGGAGGACCTGGAGCCGTGCGAGGCCGTTCTGGGCCCGTCCCAGGGGAGAACTTGGAAAGCCTTGGGAAATGCATGGCTTCTGCTTGTTTTTTGTTGCCTCGTGGGGCCGATATCGGGGTCATCCCGGCCCCTCGTGGGCCGTCCCGGCGGCCGTTGGAGCCATCGTGGGTCCAGGGTGGGGGTCTGGGGTTAGGTCGGGCATGTCCCCCCACAGGCAGATTTTGGACGAAAAAATAATATATATATATATATATATATATATATATATATTATATATATATATATATATATAATATATATATATATATTCACATATATATATATATATATATAAGATCCAGGAATAAACGAAAAATCGTCCCCGTACTATTTTTAAGCTGTGTTTGAATGTTCCTCCCGTAGAGGGACAGGCCCGCCTTAAGGCCAGGGTGGGGGTCTGGGGCCGCCTGGGGGTCCGGCGCGGGTCCTCGTGTGCAGCCCCTGGGCGCTCTGGGCGCTCCGGGCCGCTCCCGGGCGCAGCTTTTTCACTAAAAACCATTATTTTTGCACGCGCTGAGCCTGGTATTGTACGTAACATGGGTGACGTTGAGCTCCAACTCGTCCTTCCACATCTCGCCAAGCAGCGCCAGTGCCCGCTGCCACTGCTCGCCCTTCTCGCACGAGCTGATGCCAGCGCTGTAGCAGATGCTGTCGGGCTCCAACTTCGCCTCCCACATCTCGCTCAGCAGCACCAAAGCCCGCTGCCACTGCTCACCCTTCTCGCACGCGCTGATACCAGCGCTGTAACTGATTAGGGCTAACCCGTGGACTCCGTGCACGAAATCTGCACGTAATGGCACGTGATTGTGCACATGCATCCCGCGCATGCTACTGCGTGCTGATGTTTGCTGCCGCTGGTGCGTGCTGTTGGTAATGCTTGCCGCTGCCGCTGCCGCGTGTCGTTGTTGCTTGTGGCTGCAGGGTGCTGCTGATGGCCACGTCTGCTTGGGGCGTGTGCCGCTGACCACTACCTGCTGCTGCTGCTGCCGTGTGCTGCCGCCGCTGCTGCCTGCCTCGCGCTTCGTGCTGCTGCCCTTCGGGATATAACGGGGGCGCCTCGGGCCGCCCGGGGATGCTCCCGAACCGCCTCGAGTCGGTACCTGGGGAAACCCACAACGCACCGATACCGCTACCCCATCGGACCTCTCCCGGGGTGCGGCCTGACCAGGACTTCGAGGCGAATCCAGCGGTGGCGACGAGGGGCTCCCGGGAGGCCCCAGGAGAGGGCGAGCACGAGGGAAGGGCAGAGGCGCGGGTGTGCCAGCCTCCTCCCCCCCTGGGCACCATTGGCCAGGGCCGGGAGCCGAGAGGCGGGAGGGGAGGCCGTGGGCCTCACCTGTCCCACGGCGGCCCACGGGGGGGGGGTACGCGTGCCGCCCGAGGACAGAGGACGGAGGAGGAGGTCGGAGGAGGACAGGAGGACAGAGGACAAGAGGAGGACAAGAGGACAGAGGACAGAGGACAAGGGGAGGACAAGAGGACAGAGGACAGAGGACAGAGGACAGAGGAGGACAGGGTGGGGGGGGCCGCCGCCGGAGAGGACAGGGGAGGAGGTCGGAGGAGGCGCCGCGCAGGCTCTCGGAGGATGCTCGAGGGCGCTGCGGCGCATAGGCCCCCCCCCGTGGGCGGCGGGCGCACAGTGTCGTCGGCGTCGTCACCATCGCCATCGTCATGGGCAAGTTGTGCAGCGGAGGTCCGTCCACCAAAGAGCCTGCCACCGGAAGCCCAACCCCGAGGCCCCAGAGCGCCCACTGGATGTTTCTGGTGCGGGAACGTCGCGCTCGCCATGGCAGAGCCATCGGAACCCAAGAGGCCCAGGACACCCTGGAGGCAGGCGGGGAGTCTCTTGGCATGGATCCCTGCTGTAGGGGGGGGGGGGGATATGGCCTCCAAGAAGGAGGCCGCAAATCAGAAGGCGCGGGCCTTACATCTACAGACCAGATCCGCGCCTTCTTGGAGGCGGTTTTGGGGGTGTCGTGGAACCTCTCGGGCGCCTCGTGGGGACTGATCGGGGCCTCTTGGGGGGCCTCCCGGCGTTCTGGGGGGCCTCTTGGGGGCCTGCTGGTGGTATCTGGGATCATCTTGGAGCGGAGGGCGCGAAATTTTCGTTCGAGTTCCCCTTCTCAGGGCCATCTTCGGCCGTCTTCGGAGGCCTCCTGGGCCACCTTGGGCCCTCTTGGGCCCTCTTGGGCAGACTGGGGGCCCTCTTGGGAGCCTCGGCCGTGTTGGGGCGATCTTGGGGGCCCATTGGGCCGTCTAGAAGCGTCGAGACTCCGAAAAGGCAAGAACGCGAAAGCCCTCCAAAGGCCACGGGGAAACCGATGATTTTGGCCTCTCGGGGCCCTTCCGTGGGGCTGTACTGCGGCCCTGTCGGGCAGTCTGAAAAGTCGTGTTGGCGACCTCTTGGACCGTCTGGAGGCGTCTCGGGCCACCTTGGACCGTCTTCCTGGGCCGTCGCAGGGCCCCCCAGGGGGGAGCCTGCAGCGCGCCGAGGCCGGCCGAGGCCAAGTTTGAGTCTTTGGGTCCGTTGTCCTTCTGGCGGGCGGTAACCGTTCCCCCCGCGTCGCGTGATGGATTAGGACTGGCCCCGTGGACTGAAGTGCGCGCAGGCTCACTGGCATGCGAGGGCGCGGGTCGGTGACCTGCTTTCGCAGTGCCATGCCTGGGTGGCTGCCAGCCTCCTTGTCTGGCTGCGTTCTTCACAGCGTGCCTGCTGGCCCGCGATCCTGACGTCTTGGCTTCTGCTTCGCTTGGTCGTCCGATCGCCGCCGCTTGCGGCCTGGTGATGTTTGACGAGAGCTCCTGTTGTTTACTACTCAGTGTTGCCACAGCCTGCTGTCTGCGGATGGGGACTGTTGCTTGCTGCGGTCTGGAGCTGCGGCCACTACCAACGAATGCTGCTGCATGTGCTGCTGCTCGGTGCTGCACTGGCACTGCTGCCTGCTGATGCCTGATGCTGCTTGATGCTGCCCGATGCTGCCTGTTGCTGTTTCGTTCTGCTCGTGGGGACCTCCTGGGGTCCTGCGAACCAGCCCTGGTGAACATCTGTGCTATGCCCGTGCTTCCCCTGGGCGACCCTCCAGGGAAGCGGGCGCAGCCGGGGCGGCCCGCCCGGGAACGTGACTCTGCAACCCCTTGCGGCCCTCTCTGGAACGAGCTTGGGAGCAGCGGGGGTCTTCTGGCAGCCGTGTGGGAAGAAGCGAGCAGAGATGTCTTGGAGGCGACCGTCGGGCCATGCAGGGTCTTGTGCAGCCTCTCCAGGCCACCTTGGGGTTCCTGGCGGCCTCGCGGGGCCCCGTAGAAGGGTTGCTGGGTCATCTCAGGGCACTCTGGGGCCTTCTTGGAGCTGTCCTTTTAGGGCCCTCTTGGAGGCATCGTGGAGGCCAGCAGGAGCCATATTGGGCAGTATTCGGGGCATGTTGGGCCCTCTTCGTTGTTGTTGTTGCTGCTGCTGCTGTTGTTGCTGATGCTGTTGTTGTTGCAGCTGTTGACGAATGTTAACTCCTACACAATAATTATTGTTGGACCCCCCAGGCGTTTTGGCGCTCTCGCCTCGGCGCCGCCTACATGTTCATCGAAAATGAGGCTCACGCTCGAGCGGTTTGGGGGGCACCAAAAACGGCCCCCCAACAACAACAACAACAACAACAACAACAACAACAACAACAACAACAACAACAACAACAACAACAACAACAACAATTACTAGCACGTGGGGACACTCCGTTCTCACCAGTGCCAGGGTTTTCATAGGAGGCGGGCAATACCCCCACTTTGTGGGGGGGCCGGTTCAAGCTCTACCAAATTTCCAAACGACTCTTCGCCACCACCCACACCCAGCTTCCCGCCCTATGACGTTCGGACACTTCACTTCGTGGCATGCGGACGACCGTGGCTACTATTCAGGGCCCCGCGGCCGACGACGACGGCGTGCGCGCGCGAAGAAAAAACGAATGTGTCCCGCATGGTATTATTTGACAGGGATGATGGCCCTGGCAGGTGCGCAACCGTTGTCGCAGAAGTTCGAAAAAGTTGCTCGCAAAAGCCCGTTTGACAGAAATGTTTAAAAAGTGTTGGGTTTCCTACGAATCCGCAAGAGCGCGCGGGATGAGATTTTGACATTTTTTTGTTGAAAAACCATTGGTTTTTTGATGTTTTTATGTTAAAATCGCTCCGAACACTAAGCTTTTGGAAGGATTTCGTCTTGCGCGCGCGAATGTCCACTTTACCTTATTTTTTGCAAGGGATTCTTGAAATTTGATTATATTAGAACAAGAAATGTCATTTTATAGTGTTTTTTGCAAGGGAAAGCGGGGGGGAACAAAACAACCGGATCTTGATCACATCGAATTACCTGAGGCTTCCTCACGAAAATGATGAAAATGTAGCTGCGGCCTAGGCGGCGCAGGGGGGCCGTGCACCAGGGGCCCCAACAATAATTATTCTTTAGAATTAATAATGTTCAACAACAACAACAACAATCATTTTACCCGAACGCGTGGTGTTCTCCCCAGTGCCAGGGTTTTCATACGACACCAGGCAATACCCCCACTTCGTGGGGGGGCATTACAAGCTCTACCAAATATCCAAACGACTCTTCGCGACCACCCAAACCCAGCTTCCCGCCCTATGACGTTGGGACACTTCACTTCGTGGCGTGCGGACGACCGTGGCTACTACACTGGCGTGGGGTACACACCCACAGAACCCAATGGTTTTTGGAGATTTCGGCGTGCGCGCGCGAAGAAAAAACGAATCTGTCCCGCATGGTATTATTTGACAGGGATGATGGCCCTGGCAGGTGCGCAACCGTTGTCGCAGAAGTCCCACCAGCCCTCTGGGCGTAGGTGGTCTAGAGCAGATCCTCTTCCACCCCTCCCTCTTCCCCCTTGGGGAGGGGTTTACCCCTCCCCCTACCCCCTCCCCTGGACCTGGACGGGGGGGGCCGCGGGTAGTTAGAGCGTCCCAGATGGCCCAAGACGGCTCCAAGAGCGCCTCAGAGAACCCAAGATGAGCTCCAAGATGGCTCAAGATAGCGCAAGATCGCTCGAGATGGCTCCTAAGATGGTTCCAAGAAGCCCAAAGACGGCCCCAAGATAACTCCAAGTGGCCAAACAGCTCCCCAAGGAGGCCCCGAAGAGGCCAAAATCGTCCCAAAACCTAAGGAAAATCAATGATTTTTGCTTTCTCGCCTTTTCGCTTCCGATGGCCATCCGAGGCCTGGAGATGGTTCCAAGATGGCCCAAGAGGGCCCCAAGAGAGCCCCAAAAGAGCCCCAAGACGGCCCCAAGAGCGCCCAAGAGCACTCCAAGAGCGTTCCAAGAGGGGTCCAAGAGGCGATTTTAGGGGCTTCCGAGGGGGGGCGCTAATTAAACCCCCCCTCTTGTTTGATCGATCTCCTCCAAGATGGCCCCAAGAAGCGCCCAGGAAGCCCCAAGAGGTCCCAAGATGGCCCCAAAATGGCCCCAAGAGGCCCCCAAGAGGCCCCCCGGAGGCCCCCAAGAGACCCCCAAGAGGCCCCAAGAGCCCCCCCAGATGCACCCAAGATGCTCCAAGAGGCCTCGGCGAGAATGCCTAATCATTGATTCTACACAGGTTTTAGCCACATGGAGGCCTCTTGGGGGGGGGCACGGATTAAGATGACTCCAAGAGCGTCTGGGAGAGCCCAAAATGACCTCCAAGATGGCTCAAGATATCCCAAGATGTCTCATAATGGCTTCCTCTGTGTGCTGCCCACTTCTCTGATCGAGGCAATTCCTCTGGGCATCGTTTCTGGATGGGCTGGTGGGGATTCGCGAAGCGACAACAATTCGAAAAAGTTGCTCGCAAAAGCCCGTTTGACAGAAATGTTTAAAAAAGTGTTGGGTTTCCTACGAATCCGCAAGAGCGCGCGGGATGAGATTTTGACATTTTTTTGTTGAAAAACCATTGGTTTTTTGATGTTTTTATGTTGAAATCGCTTCCGAACACTAAGCTTTTGGAAGGATTTCGTCTTGCGCGCGCGAATGTCCACTTTACCTTATTTTTTGCAAGGGATTCTTGAAATTTGATTATATTTGAACAAGAAATTCATTTTATAGTGTTTTTTGCAAGGGAAAGCGGGGGGGAACAAAACAACCGGATCTGGATGACATCGAATTACCTGAGGCTTCCTCACGAAAATGATGAAAACGTGGCTGCGGCCTAGGCGCGGCGGGGGGGGCGCGCACCAGGGGGCCCAACAATAATTATTCTTTAGAATTAATAATGTTCAACAACAACAACAACGCTCCAGCTCGAAAGTTTCCTCCTTTTTTACTCCAGACCGGTACTCTTGCTCGCCGCCGAAAGCCGCCGTCCCAACAAAACCAGCGCTACCGCTCGAGACTGCCTCCCGTTTTACCTTGGACTGGCGCGCGACTCTTTCTCTCATCGGCGCCGCCCCCAGCAATAACAACGCTGCCGCTCGAGACTTCCTCAAATTTTTACTCAAGGCGGTGCTCCTGCTCGCCGCCGAAAAACGCCGTCCCGACAAAACCAGCGCTCCCGCCCGAGACTTCCTCCTGTTTTACGCTGGACTGGCGCCCTACTCTCTTTTGTATTGGCGCCGCTCCCAGCAAGAACAACGCTCCCGCTCGAGGCTTCCTCCGTTTTTCCTCAGGACGGTGCTGTTCCTCGCCGCCGACAGCCCCAGTCCCGACAGAACCACGGCTCCCGCTCGAGACTTGCTCCCTTCTTACTCACGGCGGTGCTCCTCCTCGCCGCCGACAACCGCCGTCCCAACAAAAGCAGCGTTCCCGCTCGAGACTTCGTTTTGTTTTGCGCTGGACTAGTGCCCTACTCTGTTCAGCATTGGCGCCGTTCCCAGCGACAACAGCGGCCCAGCTCGAGATTTCTTCCATTTCTATTTCAGGGCCAGGTCCTTGCCTCGCCGCCGGCAGCCCCCATCCCCACCAAGGCAATCCTGTCGCTCGATACTTCCTTGTGCTTTACCCTTGGCTGGGGCTCCACTGGCGGTCTCGCATCGGCGCAGCAAGGCGCGGGCATGCGTTTTCGTGGCGGGATATTTAAAAATTCCTCGGAGGAGGTGTTTGCAAGACCTCATTGGTCGAGAGGGGACTGGGAATAATGGACCCCGCTATTAAACAAGAGTCCCCCATGATGGGGATGGCTATCGTGCTGGTCGCATGCTTCGTGTGGAAACATCGCGCATGAGGGTAAAAGTATTGTTGTTGTTGCTGCTGCTGTTGTTGATGTTGTTGTTGATGCTGCTGTTGTTGTTGTTGTGGGCCCCTCGGGCTCTCCTGGAAGCCTCTGCACGGAGAAGGCGGAGCGTGAAGGAAGGAGTCCAGATCCTAGCCACTCTACCCTTCCTCCCTTCCCAGCCGCGCCTGCTCCACGATGGAGTCGAGGGAGGCTCGGCACAACAAATGCCTCTGACGCCTCCGCGTTGGGAGACGCGTGGCCAACCTCACGGCGTCTATCAACTGGCCGGCTTGGGAGAGGGACAATGGAAGCGAACTCTGATGGGACGCTAAACGATGTGTGTGATAACACGCAACAACAGAGGCCAGGAAACCGCCTCGCAGACCAAGGAGGAAGAGAGGGTCCCCTGGGAGAAATGAGCGCAGAGCCATGGAGGCGATATACTGCAACCTGCGGCAACTACATATATAGTGATTGACGTTATCTGGAGCATCGCACCCGAAGATGCACTGAGCATCAAGCCGGGCCATCCTGCGACTTGTGACCCATGACCCAAGCCACGATCTGAGAGCAATCTGGGACCACGCGGGGGGGGCCAACTGCAGCAGCTCCATCGTGGCATCCTCTGTCCCTTCCCAGTCGAAGGAGGGAGCGAGGAGGAGGAGGAGGAGGAGGAGGAGAACGAGGAGGACGAGGCAGGATTTGACAATGCTAGCCTTTCGGGGACCCTGCGCCAGAGCCACCTTGGAGCCTCTTGGAGCCACCTCGGCGCCATCTTGAGGCCTCTTGGGGCGTCTGGGGCC